CTCCAGAAAATTATATAGCTTGTCGAGGATTAATGCCTGGTGAAAGGAGTGGGTAGAAATTTACAATAAGAGTTGTCAGGTAGAGGTCAATTTACAATGGTGAACCACACCCTTCACCAAGACTTTTAAGAAAGGACTCTAGGCAAAATAATGTTCATTCCTCTTCTTGAGAATCCTTCTTTTTGTCGATACACAGGTGATTTTAGTACGTATTTTTCTATGCTATTTTTGGAAATAGAACACGGGATACAGTGCTGGCCATAATTATAAAGACACTCTAGAAATTGTCTAATCTTCGTTCTTGTCAATGAATCTGTCTTTTTTGCTGTATTGTGCGCATGTTAGTCTACCATGACCCCTTGAAACGGTTTCCAGTCTTATTAGGTTTGAACGGAGAACGAAACAATTTGAAAAGCCCTTAATGAAAGCTGGACAAAATTATGAATCCACCTGGTTTTTCTGGTCACTATCGCATTCGTTGACTCTCAAATTTTTTTGTACAATTACATCCCAAAATATGAAACATTTGCAACACCTACGGCCTGTCATTCTATTCATATAGAAGTGATCACTGCATTTTTTGCTTTTAGAAGCCTCAAAAGTCAAACGCTTTAACGAGAAGCTGGTTTGAGGATTTTCAAGCCCTTGTTTAATTCAAATGATAGTCATAAAATCTACTGAGCATTTTCAGTAGATGAGGTGGGGAGCGCTTCCATAAGCTCTGCGTAATCGCTGATATTGGCGGACAGATTTCAACCTCACTGTAGGGTTGACGCACTTTTGCACCACAAAACTCAATTCTCAAGCAACAGAAAATATTGTAATGTAGCCATTACGACAGCCTTACAACAGTGAACTTGTGTGCATGACTAGAAAAAAATTTAGGGATTGAGCACTCTGGTTCAGCCGCAGCTGACATCCACTGAATTTTGAGTGGAGCACCCTGCACAATCAAAGCCAACTCTGATCACGAGATAAAACAGGAGAAGCTTGAAACTTCAAAATCCTAGCTAATCTAATTCATAGGGCGAAATATGACAAGAAACACAGAGGGAAATGAGGAGATCTAGGGTCATATCGAATCTTCTGCTCGCAGGGAATTTTCGTGAAAAGTTTTTCAGTCGCAACTGCATAACTAGAGAAAATCAGAAATTGTTGCAAAAGCTGCATCACTATGTAGGCAGTGTGATAAATCAAATCCAGCGCATTATGAACATTGCAAACAGAGTTTTGTGGAGTAAAATCGTGACAACCCTATGGTGAGGTTGGAGTCTGTCCGCCAGTGTCAACGACTACGCAGAGTTTAGGGAAACGCTTCTCACCTCATCTATCGAAAATGCTTAGTAGATTTTATTGCTATTATTTGGAATAAACAAGGGCTTGAAAACTCCTCAAACCAGCTTCTTGTTGAAGCAGGTTGACTTTTGATGCTTGAGCAAAAAATGCAGTGATCGCTTCTATTTGAGTGTTTCATATTTTTAGGATGTAATTGTACAAAAAATTTGGAGTCAATGAATGCGATAGTGACCAGCAAGACCAGGTGTCTTCGTAACTTTGTCCAGCTTTCATTGAAGGCTTTTTCGAATTTTTTCGTTTTTCTTTGTTCAAACTCAACAAGACAGGAAGCCGTTTTGAGGGGTCATGGAAGGTTGACATGCGCACAATACAACAAAGTTTCAAACAGATTCATTGACAACAACGAAAATTACGACGATTTCTAGAGTGTCTTTATAATTATGGCCAGCATTGTAGTATAATCCCACTTTATTACCCTCTTTAGTTTCTTTTTTCAATTGTGTAACAATTAGGAAAGTAATTTTGGTTATTGACAGCGTATACAGGGTGTCCCAAAAGTAAGTGCACACTTTTCAATCGCCAATATCTCTCTTCCCAATGGATCTTTTTCGACAGTCAAGTACTATCTTGTAGAGGAGGCTTCAACTTAGATTTGCAGTATCGATCGAATCACCGATCATTCTTCGTTACTGTAGGATTATGGTAAGAACTTCCAGCATGTGGAACCATTGTGAAATATGCCATCTGACCATTTTTTTTTTCAAAAAATCTGAAAAATCGTGTATTAGGATTTTCGCGCACGCTGATTCCACTACACAACTTTTTACGAGTGTTTTCAGCTTTTTCGACGGTGTAATCACATTTCTGACAAATACTGGGAATTCAATTATTTCCGTTTACCTGGGATAACTTTGAAAAGAAGCATCATAGTAAAGTGGAAATTTCATGTTCGAAGTCAGCAGCTTCCACTACCTTAGTACAAGAGTTTTGGGCTTGTTTGGTTTTGTTCCGAGGCAGAATATGGCTTCCAAAGGCCTAAAACCCTTGTCGAAGTTCCTACAGTAATCCTACAGTAATGAAGAGGGATAGGTGATTCGCTCGATACTGTAAATCTAAGCTGAAGCCTTCCTATAGAATGGTACTTAAATGGTGGAAAAAGACACAATGGGAAGAGAGATATTAACGATTGAAAAGTGTGTACTTACTTTTGGGACACCCTGTATATCATACGCAGGAATATAAGCGCAGTTTAATCAGGCACTCTGTATTGAAATGCATATGTGGCTCAACCGCCGTCCGCAAAGTAAAAAGCGGACACCCGGTCAGAGTCAACGCTCACGACAGCACTCATCGATTTCTCAGCCCCTTTTGCCTGGCGTTGTCGTACGCATTTCCACTATTCCCAGCAAATGATGCAAGGATTCGGTTCACGCATCGTCACTGTTTAGGTAAGCAATAGTTTACAGTCTTACATTGGATTTCGAATCTTGGATTTTTATACATATATATAGCGCATAAAACATTTCCAAAGAAGGCGATATAGCGGTAAACGGTGATGATATAGTTCAATTCGGATATAGCCGAAATATGAACAAACAACTCTTCACAATGCTGTCGAGATCGAGCAGCAATGAAACATGGTATGTAGCTAACCTACGTCCTGCTGTGTGTCATCATTATTTCTCAGTGTTAGCCACTAACTTCGATTTATACTACTGCACCGTCTAAGGAAACGGAGAATTTTCTATGAGACAAAAACTATGCAAACCACCTTCTCGGCAACACGTCGAAACTCCGATTCCCGACAACCTCAATTCCACAGCGACCATGGACTAACCAGGCCCCACAACTGAAGCCCACGACAATTCCAAGATGTCCGCCACTTTACGTCAACAAATCAGCTTCGCCAAACAACAACTTCTTCAAGCCATAGAAGAGGCAAACCGTGAGCGTATAGAAATTTTTCAACTTCAAACTCTCAACAATGACGAGCTACTCAACACTTACGAAGGCCACACGTCTGCGCATGACTCACTCCTTCGCACATATAGTCGCCTCTATTACTTATGGAACGAATGGCAGAAGTTGATACTAGTGAACCCGCAAGAAAATCAAGTACTAGAACAGTACGTAGCCACACATGGCAATTTCCGGCAGACATTGGAAGATGCCGTCGATACACTTCAACGATTGGATCAAGAACGACCGCTATTGGAAGGCGAACTCAAGCGGAAAAACATCAATTTCGAACCCTACGGATCCGAAGCCGACTCGCTATTTTCGGAAACCCCACACTCCCAAGAACATTTAGCAGCAACACTTCCACCTACGCCCACGTCACAATTGCATCATCATTCCTCCCGCATTCTTTGTCGCCGCCACTCTAGTTGAAAGGTCATCTCCAAGTATCAATAACTTATCGCCCATATGCAATAAACTTCTCCATCACCTTCGCGGTCACTTCCAAGTCAATGCTCTAATATTCATTTTACGGTATTTCGATTATGTGATGTTGTTCGAATTATGTTGTCTTATTCGGGAAATAGCGTACGAAGAGAAGAGAGTAGCATGATATATAAGCTCGCTATGAATTGTCACCTTGCTTATCGCCCATATGCAATAAACTTCTCCATCACCTTCGCGGTCACTTCCAAGTCAAATCAGCAACGCTAATCTTGGAATTGACGCTCAGCAAAGTTTGAACGACTCTGATGAATTCATGGAGATCGATTACCTCGAAATGGAATGCGAAAAGATGAGGAAACTGGTTTTTCAATCCTATACGATCGCTGTAATTGACACGAGGCTTTAATTCAATACACAGGTACTTTATTTTATTGTAAGCTGCACAACGCACGATGGAGGAGAGTTTTACTTCGTCTCGTAAAACACAGCTATGATAGCGTAAGCACTAGAAATTTTGACATCGCTCTGAGCATGAAGTAAGCAGCAAGTATTTCGATCAATAGCATGAGTGATGAGTTCTTTAACGCACACCATTTCGCTACTGAACCAGAAGTGCCGGCAACGACCAGACAATGTACATAGTAAATTTTGCTTGTAACTCTTAGGTTTTGCTCATTTATTTTTCAGTCCACTTGTCCTTTCTGACCATCATCTTTTGGTATATAGTTATCTATCAAGTTTTTGTGACGTGTTTGCTCGTATTGTTATTTGTCAAGCTGAGTTACTTATTTTGTGCCTTTACGATTTCGCATAGCTTTAGTTTCGCTAAGCTTCATACTGCTTATCACTTCATCCAATTCTTCTTAAAATATACTTTGGGACCCAACTTTCATCAATTATATCGATTTATAAAAGAGCTCACATCGCGTAAGATCATGTTTCCAGAGAAATCTGTAAGGACCTCAAATTGCATGTTCAAGTACCTTTGCAGAAAAATGGGACGGGAGTAGGAAGGCTGTATTTGGAGATTTGAGAAATAAACTTATTTGTAAACTAGTCATGAACCACAATTTATAGCCCGCGTGGCAGACAATCAAGTATAAGCGCAAGTTCTAGCCTAGAGAGAGAAAACTCTCTTCTGCATGATGCATTGGCCGGAAAACAAACCCGGGCTGCCCGCGCGGCAGCATCCTAGCATTGAACCATCGATGCGAAGTAAAGTTTTGCAAGCATGCGTAAGCGAACGAATTTTGGAGACCAACAGATGTCTACGGAGCGCAGCTGACCAAGGAAGAGATATGCGCCTCGACACATGGTACATCCTCACTGACAGAATTTATGATCGACAGGTACAAGCTACTCTCATGCCGAGAGGAAGGAGATTTTACTGGCTGGAGACAGGAAGTAAACAAGAGTACGATGTAAAAGCAGAATCAGTGCTCAAATGGTTCAAAGTCTGTTGAGCTTTACGAAAACAAACCCGGGCTGCCCGCATAAGCGAGGTGGAAGATCACCTGAACAAAGTTGAGAAGCAAAGTGCAAGCGAAGAAACAAATCTTGCTACAATCAATGCAAAAAAGAAGGAATGCATCCAGGAATTAAAGTTCGACTGGGTTGATCAAGTAGAGCAACTCGAAAAAGGAAATAAGGCACTGAAGGAAAAGAGTCAAAAACAAATCGAATGTAAGCAGTTGGATTGGAGTGCTCAAACTGAGGGAACAGCCGATGGCGATCGGAATGAGCACAAGGAACAAGGGAGTAATCGCCATGAAGAAAAGGAACAGAGGAAGGAAAAACTTCCAAAGCAGAACGATGAGACAATGGATTGGATGGCTTCAACTCACCATAAAGAGAGATGAGGAAATGAAGCTAAAACCAACGCTTATTACAATTACAAAGTTGAAAATGCAAGTATCAAAGTGCAGGACTTGCTCGAGATCAAACGAGCAGCTATAGCACACCTGAAAAATAACTCCAACAACCTCCTTGATAAAAACGAACGGAAGAAGAAGAAATTGTCTAATTCAAGACATGAGTCAATCGGAACAATCGCGCACGGAGAAGCTCACATAGGGCTCTTGCAAAGTCAACTCAACACGCCACTAATCTTGGAATGCGAAATAGAGCAGAAAAAAGTTATGCAAAAGCTACACAAGGAAAAGAAAAAGTCAAAAAACGATTGGAGCAAGTACACAAACCAAGGGAAAAGCGACCTTGATGAAGAAGCAAAAGAATGAATCTCACTTACTTTCTCAAAGACCTTCGGTTAAAGCTCGAAGGACCGATAAACCGGAGAGTCCGAGAGCGTGGAATGACAAAATTGAAAGGACATCATTGAGATTGAGATCGTGAGACTTTACACAATTTCCCCTAACTGAAGATTGGACAAGTCATCCTCGGCGTTAAAAGGGTCAACTGTGCTTTTTGCCATAAAACAACTCAGCACTTTTCTGATTCCTGTCTCACATATGTGAGTGGAGGGAAAGGTGGAAGATAATCCCACGAAAAGGACTTTGACGCTTTCGTTCGGAGGACTGCCCCAAACGAGACTGCCTTTGCTCAAGAAAAAGGTTAGTATTGCGACGCATGAAAGAATCTATGTTCGAAGAGCTCAGCTCTCGCGACGGCGGTCACCACCGTGCGCTATACAACGTTTCCGACATGAAGGCACGGGCGAAGCGAGGATCCTCGACTCCAAAGGAACCCTCAAAGATGGCCGCAGAACGCACTAGCGACGCGAGAGTGTCGCCAACAACCAAACAGTGTATATAGTAGATACTGTACGAACTCATATGTTTTGTTCATCTATCTTGTAATCCATCATTTGTCCCATATGACCATTTATTTTGTATTCAGTTATCTACCAAGTTTTTTGGAGAATAAACCTGTTTGTGAACTAATTTGCAATCGAATTTATACTCACGCGTGCCAGACAAAAGCAAGTTGTAGCCCAGGCTGTACAGAATATAAAAGCTTGCTCCTAAAAGCTTTTGTTTGCATACTCATATTTGCACAGTAACAGCACAAGTCAACATTGCAATCAAGACCAGGATAAGACCACTAGCCGAGATAGAAAGAAGCCGCTCAAGAACTCCGGGAACCCATAGAATTCCGTGTATCACTCCATTAGGCAATATAGTTTGTGTGAATTTTCATAAAAAGACTGTGTCAGTGTGTGTACCTATCCATCAGCAAAATACTATAAAAGCAAGTGTGTTAAGCATTCCGGGGTCCTTCCGTCTGTACCCTTTCCTTCCTCTTCTCTAATGTAGTCCCCTTATCTATTACCTATTATACTAAAGTCTCGCCATGTTTTTTTCTGACTTGAGAATTCGGAATATTTAGGAGTCAACCATTAGGAAATGATCGGCCTTTCTTTTGTCCTTGCATGCTGCTGACCGACGACATTGGAAACTCTTTTTATTGTACCTTGTGCTAGCCAACATGTGGATGGGTTGTATCACCTTTGGTTTGGTGTTATCCCTTTCTGGAGAATAAACCGTTGTTGGGATATTGTTGAGGCTCGCACAACTGGATAACAAATAGATATTTTGTAGAATTCCCGCTACCTCTCCTTAGTCCCCATGCGAAACCACAATTGAGAGCCTTACGTGGAGGTTCCGGCTATGGACAAAAAAGCTTTACTGAATAAATACTCAAATTTCAGAATGGCGAGTAGCGTTGATGACATCGAGTTCCTTTGTAATCTCTTCAATTCGGTTAGGGACAAAACGCCTCTTGTAGTGGTAAGCGGATCAAGAAAAACTATGGCGGTCCCGCCATCAGAGACGCATGCTCTCCGTCCTTTCGTATTCATATACCGGCTCTCAACCATCTTAGAAGATTACTTTGGCACCCATTGAGATTTATTAGAACTGATGACATCAGAATGCTATGCAACGCTCCTTGCCGCTAGCAATCGCCGCCTTCAATGGTAGCTGCGGCGAGTATATTGCAAACCATCAATCATTCCAGCTAAATCCAAAAACGGCTAAGCAGTATCGATTTCCTTGCGAAAGCTGTCCTAAATCACAACCCCACAATGTGCAAAAACACCTGCTTTTTAAACACGATACTCAATTCTAGCGGTCAATGCACCCCTTGAATTTCTCGGCGAACGTGCCTTTCCTTCTGGTCCTGCACATAGAACAGATATGGCTGAACGCTTACCGTAGGCATCTTGCGGTCACCACATCAGCCCAGTAGAAAACGCAGGAAGGAACCAGAGGAGTCGAACAGGAGGCTATCCCACTCAGATCGATGTTGTGATCTATTTCCGCAATTGTGTTTTTGCTTTTCTGTAGTAACTCGAATGCTTAAAACCACTTTACATATCCTCGTTTTTTATGTGTACTCATTTTCGCATAAAGTTACCTAGAAGCCTATTGAAACATAGAAGCTTTGTTAGCACTAACAGATATTATTCAAGCTATAGCTCCAATCCAGCAGCTTCAAACAGAATGCTATTAGAGTTCCGTTTTTGGGACAGATTACCTCCACGCTCTGAGATCGAGTTTTGTCTCCGCTCTGAGGACAGGATACTTCATTTTCAGGAGGTCTATCATATAATATGACGAAGTAGTAAAATATTATATAGACAAACATTTATCCTTAACCGCTTAATTTGAATTAGTCATCAGGCTTGTCTCTATAAGGGCGTCTTCATCCTGCCCGACAAGAATTTCAAAAGATTGTTTAGTCACCAACAGGTATTATATTGCAACTCAAAAACAAACAAGCTTGCAGGGCATTTTCTTCAAGCAGCTGGACGACATCGGGAACTCTTTTATTGTACTTTGTGCTAGTTAACGTGTGGATGGGCTTTATCGCCTTTCCTTTGGTGTTATCCCTTTCTGGAGAATAAACCGTTGTTGGGATATTGTTAAGGCTCGCACAACTGGATAACAAATAAACGATTCTATAGAATTCCCGCTACCTCTCTAGTCTTCATGTGAAATCACAGTCAAGAGCCTTACAAGGCAAAGAGGAACCTTTTCTACTAGAAGATAAATCCCATTTTCAATGGTCATTTTCCTTCTGCAATCAACCTCTTCTTTAAGAAAAAGAATAAGCTCAAGAATCTGGAGAAGGAGCTGTCGTTTGCGGAAGTGGGTAGAGCAAGAGGGTTACTACGATAAAATTTACAGCCACAAAGCAGTAAAGGTTTATATCTAGTCTCTTTGCAGCATTTGCTGCTTATGGATTGAAACGGAGCATGATGACGGTTGAAGTGGATGCACATACTCGCGATTTGCCCAAGGAAAGATCTGTTCCCCTTTACATTCCCAGGGACGAAAATACACACTACACAAGAACGCACACTCCTGTGTACTAGAGATATTCTTCACATACGCCCAAAGAAAGTATTAAAAGCTCTTCGCCAGGCTAACAAAGATAGGAATTGAGAGCAGAGGATTTACGAAACCTTCAAGATTAGGAAAATTCCACCAGATCAGAAGGTCCCTTATAACCGCTGCCGCTGAGTTTGTTTTTGTAAAAAATGACAACTTTTATGAGTTAAAGTATGAGAAAGACGCTGATAAATATATCAAAATCAATCAGTCTTTGTCCCATTGCTGTTGGACACAGACCATAGTAGAATACAAATACTGCTTATCTTTTTCGCTTCCCTGATCGAACATCAATGCATCCCACCACTCACTTTCTCGAGGCCTTGGAAATGACGGAATCTAAAAGTGGCCTGCATTTTCGAACCAATCCGCCTTATATCAAGAAACTGAACTTGCTCCAAGAATGCACCTGGAATCTTGTGGCAGTAGCCGCAGATAAAGCCTCAGCGATGAAAAGGCCTGCGCAGCTTGCCCAATCAAGATGTTTGAGAATCTCGCAGAGGCAGCTTGCTTAGCAGAGGTGCAACAGCTGATAAGTCGAATGCGATTCCAGTATGGCTCACAAGATCAAGCTCGCACTAACAGATGCATTCGCCTCAGTTTTTCCGATGGAAGAAATTTGCGTCTTATTTCTTGGAATTTGATCGTTCTTTGTAGCCGCCTCACGGAGGAGAGCGTTGAGGAAGTTCATGAGGCAGCAGAGGGAAAAAAATTGTCAATTTAAGAATAATTATCGCAACTGGGCCCTTTAGAAGAAAGTAGGTAGACACATTATCAGTTTAATAGCTAATTCTTTTTTTCAGATGCTTGAGTTTTCTGAAATTGTGCAAACACATCTTGATGGCACTACAGCAGACCTCCTATCAACTTCCAATTGTAAAGATCATCTGGAAGCTGCAGCATTCCTTCACGTGATAAAAACTCTAAAGTCCTACAGGTACATGGTTTTCCAGCTCATAGTTTTGGAAGGCATCGGAAAACTATCGAGAGAAACTCAAGTGAAAACCTGTAAAAACCAGGAAAGATTCTGATGCTTCCCTTCAAAGCGAGTCATCTAGTATATGGAAAGCACACGAAGGGGGTGGAGAACACTGCTAGCCGAAAGTGGGGGTCCCGCGTTGACATCTGCGACAAAGCACGCGGCTTCCTAATTAAACACATAACGATTTGTACCAACTGTCTGCGAGGGGCGGGCCTATCGGCAACATACAGTCGCCCACCCCACACTGAGACTTTGAATCGGCTGAGCAGCTCACTGTGGTGGCTGTTCTCCTCACATAAATAGAATAAACCCTGTTATTTCTTGAACTAATCTTCTGCAAGCTGCTGCTAATGCGGAAGGATTTCAAGCAGATGCTTCTTTACTTTCGGGACGGAAATGGTAAGCCACTATGCTAGTCGATAATCTTTTCAGGTGCTTTTAGGTTTTGAAGTGGCTGGCAGTAAGAAGATGCAGCTGAGCAGGGAATTGTCAGAACTTAACCCACTCATTACAAACAAGCTGTATA